TACCGGCGAGGTGTGAAAGCAATTCGAAGTGTGACAGCGTGAAACAGCAGTGCGAGATGAAGCACTCACCGCGGCGCTGTGTGGCAGGCGTCGAGCGTCAGCCGCCCGGCTCAGGGTGTGGTCGGCAGGCAGCAGCGGCAGGAAGAAGGACGCAGACGGCAGGAGCACGCGGGGGGGGGGGGGCGGTCGAACGAGGACGGGGGGAGCAGGCGGCAGAGCAGGCCGAGCAGAGAGCAGCGCGGAGGAGGAGGCAGGAGAGCGGGCGAGAGAGAGAGAGAGAGAGAGCGAGAGCAGGAGAGCGGCGAACGGACGGACGGCGGATGGGGGGCAACGGCAGCGCAGCAGCGGCGGCCGCGGCAGCAGGGGAGCGGGAGAGCAGCATTCTGAAACAGTTGCACGCCTGTCCACCTTTTTTTCCGCGGGCGGCCTGTGCTTCTCCTTGCGTCCGCTCGAGACCCAGGTGCCCAATAAGCAAGTCGCACGCTCCATCTGGGTCGGTGGGTGAGGATCGCTTGCATGCTAGTGTCCACGTCTCTTTCCAGGACAGAGACGCCCAACCGTCCACGCCGCTTCGCTCAGCAAGCTGAGTACTGGCGCGCGTGGCACGCCAGATGACCCAGTCTTCGTCAGGTAGCCGCCGAATGCCCGCCATCCGTCGCAGCATCCGACGCGGCGTGGGTCGGAGCTTGCGCTCCTGGGCCGCCGTGAGCGTCCAGGTGCTGGAGGCGTGCAGGACGCAGAGAGGCAGGGCGCTTCGCATGCTTTGAACAATCTCAGTCGCTGGTGGGTCTGGAGGCGCTTGTTGCACAATAAGTGCTTCAGGGCGCGGAACGCGGCCCATCCAGAAGCGAGCCGGTTGCCAAATTCTGCTCCGTGGACGTCATCCAGAGACATTTTCTCGTCAATATTTTTCTTTGACTCGCCGTGCTGGGGCACTCTCACGTTGTGCGCGCCGCACTTTACATGTGTCGGCGGCTGTTCTGTACCACTGTCTTGCCCATGTGGGCCTTCAGGTCGTACTTCTTGGCCTCCGACTCCAAATCTGCGATCATTCTGGAAACGTCTCTTTTGCATCCCGATAGAATGAACACGTCATCGGCGAAACGCAGGTTTGTCAGGGGAACTTTGGGGTCATCCACCACTAACCCATGATGCATGACAGTGCGCTTGCTATTCAGTTTGTTCCAGCGTGCCTTCAACTTTCGGAACATAGCTTCCAAGACCACGACAAACAGAAACGAGCTTATCGGATCCCCCTGCTTAACGCTCTGCGAGATATCGAAGGTCTACTTCTCTCGCCAGCGATTACAGTGGCTGTTTGCTTTGCGTAGAGGCGTTTCGACACATCGATGTCTGCGCTCGGGACTCCCTGGTCTGCCAAGGCTGCCCAAAGTGTGTCTTGTTCAACTGTGTCGAACGCCTTGTCAAAATTGATCATGCCAATCCACAAATCTACGTTGGACATGCTCGTTGCAAGCTGCTGCAGTCAGAATCATGGAACTCAAATGGTCCACGGTTCTGAAGCCCTTCCTGTATGCGGCTTGGTCAGCTGACTGCTCACCAATGATCGTGCCGCCGGGATAGGCTCCGCGAAACCCGAGGGGAGCAGCATTTACCCCCAGTCTGGGGGGGGGGTTAATCGGTGAACTCGGCCAGTGGGGCCATGGCCATGCCAGTGGGGATGTCGGCGGCGAACGAGGGGGGGAAATGAGAAGGAGAAGGCCTTTTCAAAAGGCGGCGGGGCTTCTCCGAAACCCTCCGGACTTCTGAGAGAGTCTTCTGTGTCTCCAGGGAAGGCTAAGAAGACCTTTCAGAAGGCGGGGGGGCTTCCGAGCCTCCTGAGAGGGCCCGCCCCTTCTCACTTCCCTCCCCGGGCTCGCCGCCGAGGATGAGCGATGCTCCCTCCGCCTCTTCGGCTTCCCGCACGACAACCCGAGGGCGCCCGCTATACGCCCACGCCAGTCCCGGCGGGGCCGACCCTGGACCCGGGATGGGTGACCAGGCCTTCTTGGCCAAGCCAGAAGGGCATGCAGCCGAGACGTTGCGAGAAGGACCGCCTTGGGGCTCCCGGCAGGGGCTCGATGCTCCCTATAGGTCCTTCCCTGGCTCTTCCTCTGGCGCGCCTCGTCCACGCAGGCCCTCTTCGGGGCCAAACCGGGGCCTCGTTCCTGGTGCAGCGTTCCTGCTTTCAGCAGCCCGCCTGCACACGCCGATCCTGGGGCCTGGATGGACTGGGCCTGGATCGGTGCACGGGCAGCCCGCACGGTCAGCCGGGGCAGCCTTCCCACGGGTGCCCCTTACATCCTTGCCTCCTCGCTCCATCCTTGGCCGCTTTCGTGGGCCGCGCTGCGCCTCGAAGAGCTCCGAAGTGGACGTCCCAGGCCCTTGCATCCTTGTCGCGGATCCTTCTGATACGGGCCGACGTTCGCGTCGTGTCGACCAGGAGGTGGGAACACACTCAGACACAATTCATCGTCGACCCCCAGGGAAGCATGGGAAAATACGGGCGGTGGGGGGGGAGGGGAAGACGACAACCTCCAAAAATGTGGGAACATGTGGGGGATCCTGGGATCTGTGTGTGTGTGTGTGTATTTGTTTGTGTGTCCCTGGGCCCTTGAGAGATGTCGTTCCCGGAGTCTATTCGTGGGCGTGGCTTGCCGTGGCCGGGAACAAAAACTTTGGGTTCCTTATGCTGGCGCTCCTCGTGTTAGCGCGCTGACTGCAGGTGCATCGTTGGCGTCCTCCCAGACAGGCCCACCGCATCGAGGGTAAGAGGATCCCTAACCCCGATAACATGGTGAAGACGTGGCCTCACTTCGGTCCCCGTCTCTGCTTGGGGGATACCATGGATCTGGGCGGTTTGGCTCGAGACGTCCGCAGAAAAGACCCCTGCCATCCCTCATGTTCCTGGCCCTCCTAACGTATAGGTTCCCTCCCAAAGGGTTAGGGGTCCTTTTAGAGCCTGTTTTTTGAGCCCGGCAAGTTTGCTTGCATGGGTTAGACGGGGGGCGACCTGAACCTGAAGCAAGCCGCAAACGTTTTGCACGTGCGGAGCTCGCGCAAGTCGAACGGCGCCTGCACGCTAGCATCCGTTTGAAGAGGAGCGGGGGGAGCAGCGGGGGGAGGAGGGGGGCGAACGCCATGCAAGTAAACTTGCCTGCGTCTAAGAAAAGCAGACTCTTCTTGCTAGTCACCACTGCGTTGCTGGGAGTGGAGGGTTTCTTCGAAGGGCTTAGGCGACCCGTCCTCCTCCTCCTCCTTCTCCTGCTCCTCCTCCTCCTCCTCCTCCATCTCCAACTCCCCCTCCTCCACCTCCACCTCCTCCTCCTCCTGCTCCTCCTGCTTCTCCTGCTCAGCCTCCTCCTCCTCCTCCTCCTCCTCCTCCTCCTCCTCCTCCTCCATCTCCTCTTCCCCCTCCTCCACCTCCTCCTCCTCCTTCTCCTCCTCCTCCTCCTCCTCTCCCTCGGGTCGCCTACGGCCCCAGGGGGAAACCGTGCAGCTGGGAGAGGAGGCCGCGCACGCCCACGGAGAAAGCTGCGCCCCGAGCGCCAGCGTGGCAGGGGCAGGGGCGGGGGGCGCCAGCGAGCGAGGCACGGCCACGCCACGCCTGGAAAGGAGGAGGAGGAAAGGAGGAGGAGGAAAGGAGGGAGGAGGAGGAGGAGGAGGAGGAGGAGGAGGAGGAGGAGGAGGAGGAGGAGGAGGAGGTGGAGGAGGAGGTGGGGGAGGAGGAGAAGGAGGAGGAGGAGGAGGCGGGGGGCGCCAGCGAGGCGGCACGGCACGGCTGGGCGTTTGCGGCGGGTGGGCCCTGCCCGCAGGGCTCGAGCGGAGCGGTGCTCTGGCGATGTCGTAGGGCTGCTTTCGTCTCGGTTATCGTTCTTCGAGCATGAACACATGCCATAAACATAAACTTTTGACGCTCCGCGCGGATTTCTTGGCTCCGCGCCGGGCCCCCCTGGCGGCGCCTCCGGCGCCACCCCTGGCGCGCTCCGCGCGCCAGACAGGGGGGTCCAGCGCATATTCAAGAAACCCGTGCGGAGCGCCAGAATTTAATGTTCATGGCGTTTTTCGTTTTCAAGTTCTGCACCAGGGGCGGAGCGAGTGCAGAACCGAGGGGGGACGGACACGAAGCGAAGCGAGCACGGAGAGCACCGTTTCGCTGGAGCCCTGCCAGCTCGTTCTACGCAGCCATCCAGCTCTCGCTCCGAAGACCGCCAGAGAACGCCGGAGGACGCCTCAAGACCGTCGCAAGATCGCCGGAGGACCGCCAGCACCCCGCGGGAGAAGGTCGCGGGAAGACCAGGCAGGCCCGAGGGGTCCGTGGACGGCCTGCACCTGCCATGCTGAGCCAGCCAGAGTTCCCGCGTGCAGGTGCTGTCATCTGCAGGAACGAAATTGGCACAGAAAGAATGGGTACAATGCCCAACAGCGGATCTGGTTCATTTTGAACAGGACTCGCTGTCCACGCCGCCGCGGCCTGTGTCCATTCGAGACAGGAGGCCGCCTGCCGAACAGCGGCCGCTGTTGGTTTGGGACAGCATTTGTCGTTGGGCATTGTACCCATTCTTTCCGTACCCATTTCGGGCGTCCAAACGTCAGTTCCGGACCTCGAGAGGTCCGCGGCCGAACGCGCCACTTCCACGCAGCGCAGGCCACCTCCCCCTCCTGCTTCTCAGAAGGCGTGGGCCCTCTCTGTGGATGCAAGGCCCGCGCCTCCCAAGAAGCAGCCTCCTCCTAAGAAGCCTCAACCCCTCCCCCTACCCTCTTCTTCAGGAGGGAAAGAAACACACAGACACAATTAATCGTCGATTCCCCAGAAAGTATGGGAAGATATGGGAAGTGGGGGGGAAGACAGAAACCCAGAAGATATGGGAAAATATGGGTAATACTTTTATTTGTGTGTATTTATTTGTGTGTCCCTGGGCCCCTTCACTTCTGCGCGCCGCCAAGCAGCGCAGGCCACCTCGCGCCGCCGCGTGGCCTTTCGGCTCCGCCGCCGGGAGCCCCCCGGGGCCTGGCGGTGCCGTGCTGCGGTGCCGCAACCGGCGCCCCGCGGCGCCGGCCCCATGGCGCAGCCCACGCCGCCGCTGCGGCCAGCGCCCCACGGCCGCGCACCTCGGCCGCTGCGGCGGTGGGTGGCGCCCGCCGACGTCAAGGCCCGGGCGGCGCCGCGCGCGTGTGGAAAGACGGGCTCTCCCAGAGAGCCAACGTGTCTCGAAAAAGGCGAGGCGGAGGTCTTGTGCGCAGCTTTCGGCCTCCATAAGAGGCCCTCGCTGGGCTCCAGGACCGTCAACAAACGGCTCAGGACGAAAAGCCGGTCCTGGGCAGTAGGTCGAGATTTCTGGGGACCGCGTGTGGAAAAGATCACGATATCGGATCTCTGGGCGGATCTATGGGCTGGGCTCTCCCAGAGATCCAACGTAATGAAAAAGTCGAGGCGGAGGTCTTGTTCGCAATGTTCCCCAAACAGTGCTTGCACTCAAGGGGTCCAAGCGGAAGTTGAAAGAGTCGGCGAAAGTTTCCCGCCGATTTTGGTAGCAGGCCGGGTTCCCGGGTTCCCGGTTCAGGGTTCCCAGCTTCCCGGTTATTGGTTCAGGGCCGATTTCGGTGCGAGGAGGAGGAGGAGGAGGAGGAGGAGGAGGAGGAGGAGGAGGAGGAGGAGGAGGTGGAGGAGAGGGAGGGGGAGGAGGAGATGGAGGAGGGGGCGAGGAGTAGGTTCTGGGTTCCTGGGCTCCCGGGTTTCCAGTCGATCTCCTCAGCGAGCACCATCCACTGATTGGGGTTTCTCTCTGGTGTCATTCGGCCTCTATATATTATAGGGGCCCTCGCCGGGCTCCAGGGCCGTCAAGAAACGGCGCGGGATGAAAAGCCTCGGCCCTGGGCAATGGTGACGAACCAACAACACACACCCATACTTATAGGGGGATCGGAGAGGGCTATGGGTGCGTGTTGTCGGATGGGGGTCCCCGCTCGAACGGGAGCGTTCCCCAGGGTCCGACAACCCGCACCCATACCCATAGCCAGTCCTCCTCCCAACGACCTCCATATGGGTACGGGTGTGTGTTGTTCGTTCGTCAAATGGTTCGAGATTTCCGGGGGCCGCGTGCGGAAAAGATCACGCCATTGGATCTCTGGGCTGGTGCGCGCTGCCGCGCGTGCTGGCGCGCGCGCGCGGCAGAGTGCAGCGTTTTCGTCAGGTCTCTGCTGGGTCTCACCAGAACGACGCGAAGATCTGGACAAAATCGGATCGGGATAACTCAAAGCCTCTGAGAATCGGCAGGTTTGGAGGATGTATTAGGCGCCGCGGCCGCTCCAGAGCGTTCCGGAACGCTCTGAGAGCGCTCCGGAACGCTCTGGAGCGATCTATCCCGATCCTAGCCCTGTTTTACTCACCCTCGGGGCGCCTGGCAGCAGCCGCGCCCCGCCGAGAGCGCTCCCAGGGGGGGGCCCCAGCGGCAGAACAACAACCCAACTCCTGCGCGACGGCCCACTCACTGCTGGGAAGAAGGAGGAGGCCCGCCCCATTTTGTGGCGGGCGATGGGAAGAGTCCGTCTTGCACCCCCGCCCCTCGGCGGGGGAAAACCTGTAGGGTGGGTGGTTGTCCCGAGCGGCCGCCCGCGGCCCTGGCTCTGATCCGGGAGGCCATGCGCAAGAGCGGCCCTTCGCCGGGGTGACCTTTGGCGCGGGTCCACTTGGGCCCCCCGATCGCTGGATGCGATTTGCGACGGCAGCGGCCTGATGCGCGCCTGGGTCGGCGACGGAGCCAGTGATATCGAGCATGTGGCACAAGTGACAGCGCGCCACTCGCTGCCGTTTGACCTCTCGGGGCCCCTGTTGCCATTGCGCTAAAACGTATCGTAATCACGCTGGCAGCGGAGCTGCTACACGATCCCCGTATCGTGCCACTGCGCGCTCGTCTCTCTCTCTCTCTCTCTCTCTCTCTCTAGAGAGAGAGATATAGATAGAAAAGAGATAGGAAGAGAGAGAGAGAGAGAGAGAGAGAGAGAGAAAGAGCAACCGCCTTAACTTGCTGGGCAGTTTCCCTCACCAGGGGACAGTGCCTTGCCGTGCCGCCATGACGCTGTCTTTTCGCTATCGGTCGAACGCCGGCGCGTTGACACGATCAGAGACGAGGGGTGGCTCTTACATCTACGATGGCACGGTGAACAACTTCCACGAATCGGCATTCCGCTCGGAGATGCGCATGAGTGCCGCCTTGGCTTCAGTGGGCTCCGAGACGGGAGAACCCCAGCAGCATATTGTCACCTCCGCTGTCAACAGGGTTGTAGAGGGCCTCAGATGTGACGCGTTCGATATTGCCATTGATATCGGTAACAACGTGCTTTTGACACCGAAGGGAATCGATCAGCTTGCGATGGCGATTCGTACTTCACTCTTCCCCACACAGGCCCAGGAAGCCAAGATCCTGTTCCAGGTGGGGCAGAGACCTTACGGACCACTGTCCCAACAGGGCGGTGAATCGATTTCCCGCAGGAGGTGTTGGTGGAAACTTGTCTCCAAGCGTGTCTCGGGCTGGTCTTGCGGGCGAGATTTGTTTCCAGATCCACCGCATCTTGGAGGCTCGGGATGTGGGTAGACACGTCGGCCCCTCGAGGCTATGTTCTCGTCCGCTGCTCCTCGGCCTTTGGCGCCCCTTTCCGGAAAGTCCAAGACGCCATGGGTATTGCTATGTCGCCGCGCCGTTTGTTCGTCGTGGGGATGGCGCCTCGGGCACCAGCACAGACTTCGGATGCAATTCCTGGGAGGTCATTTCTGATTTTGCCCTGGTCCGAAGTCCGGCTTCATCCGGGCTGATCCCGTTTAATCCCGCTAAATCCCGCTTAATCCCGGCTAATCCAGCTTAGTCCCGCTCAATCCGCGGCCCACTCCGGCGTAACAGCCCCCCAATGGGGCTAAATCCTCTTTATCCGACGAAGGCATCTGTACACCACCACCGTGTCAGGGCAGGGCCATCCTGGGCCCCAGGATGGTGTATAGACCCTCCTGGCTTCGGCCGGGAGGGTATACACTATGCCAGGGCCAGGATGGCCCTGGCATGGCACGGTGGTGGTGTATAGGTGCCTTCAGCGTATCTTTCATCTTTCCGAAGAAGACCTCCCAGTAGTTGCCTCCGAAACCGACTCCGCCCACGTAGGGCGCGGAGGGCTCGCCGGGGGTCTGCCGCCCCGTGCCGGCGCCGTGTGTTTGGGCGCGGGTCGCGGGGCCTGCCGTTCAGTATCGTGTAGCCGGCCCCCATCCCCATCCGCATCCGCTCCCTCATCCCCTTCGGGACCCCACCAAATTATCTCATGCTCATCCCCATCCTCAGCACCTTCCATCCCCATCCTCATCCTCATCCCTATCCTCATCCTCATCCCCATTCCGACCCCCATCCCCATCCTCATCCCCTTCGAGGCCCCCACGCAATTACTACCCCAGGTGGGGGTGCACCCCTCGCTTTGGGTTCGGAAGGAGCTCGCTGTTTTTTCGGTCGTTCCGTGGCTGTTCCTCTAGTCCTCCTCGTGCACGCTTGGCAGTTATCGCTTCAAAAAGAGGCTTCGTTCCTTATTGGCCGCTCCCTATTTCAGGGGCCCGACTGTACCCCAGTTGGGGGTGCACCCCTCGATGCCCGGAGGGAGGGACCTGTGTCCCCATCCAGGGGGGCAGGTCGGCCAGCGGGGCCCAGGCCACGCCGCTGGGGATGGGGATCCGTGAAACGATACTCAGCCGTGGGCTTGCCGCGGTGTCGGCGCCATGCGCTCGGGCGCGTCGAGGTCAAACGGCGCGGCGGCATGTGGATATGCAGTCAGACCGCACAGTAAGGATGAACCTCTTTCCAGTGCCGATTGCCCCTGCGTCCTTGCCCCCTCGGCCCATCCTAAACCCTAAACCCTAAACCCTAAACCCTAAACCCTAAACCCTCAAAACGAAAAACACCACGTATTCAGCAAGCTCGAATGGTGCCATTGCGAAAGCGCTAGGCGCCGCGCTTCCCGGAGCCTCCCGGAACGCCGGGTGTCCGGGGGTGGTCCCGGCAGAGTACCGGGGAGGTTCCGGCCCGGGGCCGTCCCGGGGCGAGCCCGGGGGGGCTCCGCGGTTGGAGCCCGAGCGCGGAGTGCGCCGCATGCGAGCATGCGAGCGGGCACGCGCGAAAGGCGCGCAACGGGCGCTTCTGGGACGTCTGGGAGACAGCCGCCGCGCGGGAGAGGCCGCGATCTTCCAGCGGGCACGCACGGAAGCGCTCTCGGCGATAGCGCAGGCCAATTGGAATGGTTGCGACACCCGCAGACATTAATACGTTGTGTAAATTCTTAATCCTATAATTATTAAACCCTGATTACTGCAAAAGCGGCCGTTATGCAAACCCGCTCCATCTACTGCAAAAAAAACATTTTCTTAACATGCGTGCAGAATCTCATATTTTTAAAAGCACAAAGTGCCCAGTCCCCGTCGCGAGCCGCCTCCATGTACTGCAAAAAATAGCATTTCCTGCGCATGCGTGCAGATTTTTTTTTACAGCACAAAGTGGGCGGTCCCCGTTGCGACCTGGTTATATAAACCCGCTCCATCTACTGCAAAAAACAGCATTTCCTGATCCTGAGCATGCTCCATCCTGAGCATGCGTGCAGAATCTCCTGTATTTCACAATACAACATGCGACCCCCTTATGTACACCGCCTCCATCTCCTGGACAACCTCGCGCTTCCTGCGCATGCGTGCAGGATCTGAAACCCGTTAGAGCATTCGCGTGCCACCTGGATCGCACATCCGTCGTCGCCGTCGTCGTCGCCGTCGTCGTCGTCGACATTGCACTCGCTGTGGTTCTACCGAGGGGAGAGATGATCTTTATGGTGGGGTGGCGTGCGGGTGGGAGTGACGGCCACCGCAGGTGGGTTCGCGGTCCAGGTGTACTCGTGGCCACGCCTAGTAGACCCTAAACCCTAAACCCTAAACCCTAGCATCCTTGCCCCCTCGGCCCATCCTTGGCGACTTTCGCTGGCCAGCCTCATTCGAAAAACGTTGACGTGGCCCTCCAAGGCCCTTGCGCATCCTCATCGCGCGTCCTTGCTGTGCAAGTGGCCTGCGCCGTTCCGCCGAGACCCCCATCAAGGAGCGACTGCCTGAGACGATCGCGGAAACTACATCTTGGGTCAGGCGCCTGGATGAATCCGAGGCCTGGCATCGCTCGGACGTGTGCCTTTTTTTCTCGGCGAGAACCATCGAGGAGCATCCTTGATCATTTGGCGACAAAGCCACGCACGAAACCGACAAAAAACACAGGGAATGGACGTCCGAGCGATGGCGAGGAGGGTCTCCTGGGATATTCTCTCTGGGGCCTCTTGGAGATCGTGGCTCCTCCTTCGTCGTCGTCGTCGTCGTCGTCGTTTCGTCGTCGTTTCGTCGTCGTCGTCGTCGTCGTCGTCGCCGTTTCGTCGTCGTCGTCGTCGTTGTTTCGTCGTCGTCGTCGTCGTTTCGTCGTGTCGTCGTCGTCGTCGTCGTCGTCGTCGTTTCGTCGTCGTCGTCGCCGTCGTCGTCGTCGTCGTCGTCGTCGTCGTCGTCGTCGTCGTCGTCGTCGTTTCGTCGTCGTCGTCGTTGTCGTCGTCTGTGGGGCCAGCTTGCCAGCTTCCTTGTCGTGCGCCCTGCTTGTACGGCGTTGGCCTGCCGATGGTGCCCGCAGGCCCGCCGCACGGCTCCTGTGGGGAGGGCGCCGTGCCGGCACGCAAAGCTATACGTTGCAGGTTCGGGGGGACCTCGCCCGTCCCCCAGGCCGGTGTCTTTTTTTGTGCCCGACCCAGACCCCCTCGAGTCATGAAAAAATCACGACGGGAGGTTTTTCGTCATTTTCGGCCTCTGGGAACCTCCACCGGCCCTCAGGACCGTCAAAAAACTACTCGGGATGAAAAACCGGTCCCGGGGAAGGGGTCCGGACCTTTGGGGGCCGCGTCATGGAAAATTCATGACGTCGGTGGTCTGGGGACGCGGGCTCGATGCGGACTCGGCGCGGATCTGGCGTGGATCCGACGCAGACTCGACGCGGGTTCGACACTGGTCCGACGACTCCGACATTAGGGAAGCAACAGTGACAGAAACATGACAATTCGAAGGTCCGCGCGGATTGCTCGGATCGGCGCTGAACCCCCCTCCCTGGCGCGCGGAGCGCGCCAGGGGCGGCGCCGGAGGCGCCGCCAGGGGGCCCCAGCGCCGATCCGAGAATTCCGCGCGGACCTCCGAGTGTTGACGTGTTCATGCTACTATTTGCCCCTCTGGACATACAGTGCCGTTCTTAATGCATGCTCCGCGTGCGGATCATGTATTAAAACATGCAGGGGCTTGGTATTAACAGCAACGATGAGTGCATGCGTAAATTTGTTCATGCGCTGATCATGTCTTAACAATCTTATATTTTAAACATCCTATGTATTAGAAACTGCCCTGTAGGTCCCCCGAGGATGCAAAGAGTAACGCTCTGGCCACTATTTGTCCCTCTGGACATGGGTCCCCCGGCACGTAGCGCTCCCACACACACACACACACCCACCCCCACCCCCACCCCCACCCCCACACACCCACACACCCACACACCCACACACCCACACACCCATCCACGCACGCACGCACGCACGCACGCACGCACGCACGCACGCACGCACGCACGCGCGCGCGCACGCACGCGCGCACGCACGCGCGCACGCGCACGCACGCACGCACGCACGCACGCACACACGCACACACACATACACACACACACACACACACACATACACACACATACACACACACACATAACACATACACACATACACATACACACATACACACATACACACATACACACATACACACATATACACATATAGACATTTACACACATATACACACATACGCACACATACACACATACACACACATACATACCCACATACACACATACACACACATAACACATACACACATACACATACATACATACACACACATACACATACACACATACACATACACACATACACACATACATACACACATACACATATACATACACAATACATACATACACACATACACACAACACATACCACATACACACATACACACATCCACACACACCACATACACACATACACACATACATACACACATACACACATTTCACGCACACACGCACACACGCACACACGCACACACGCACACACGCGCACACGCGCACACGCGCACACGCGCACACGCGCACACGCGCACACGCGCACACGCGCACACGCGCACACGCGCACACGCGCACACGCGCACACGCGCACACGCGCACACGCGCACACGCGCAACACGCGCAACACGTGCACACGCGCAGCACGCGCACGCGCGCACACGCGCACACGCGCAACACGCGCACACGCGCACACGCGCACACGCGCACACGCGCGCACGCGCGCACGCGCACACGCGCACACGCGCACACGCGCACACGCGCACACGCGCGCACACGCGCACACGCGCACACGCGCACACGCGCACACGCGCACGCGCACACGCGCACACGCGCACACGCGCACACGCGCACACGCGCACACGCGCACACGCGCACACGCGCACACGCGCACACGCGCACACGCGCACACGCGCACACGCGCACACGCGCACACGCGCACACGCGCACACGCGCACACGCGCACACGCGCACACGCGCACACGCGCACACGCGCACACGCGCACACGCGCACACGCGCACACGCGCACACGCGCACACGCGCACACGCGCACACGCGCACACGCGCACACGCGCACACGCGCACACGCGCACACGCGCACACGCGCACACGCGCACACGCGCACACGCGCACACGCGCACACGCGCACACGCGCACACGCGCACGCGCACGCGCACGCGCACGCGCACGCGCACGCGCACACGCGCACACGCGCACACGCGCACACGCGCACACGCGCACACGCGCACACGCGCACACGCGCACACGCGCACACGCGCACACGCGCACACGCGCACACGCGCACACGCGCACACGCGCACACGCGCACACGCGCACACGCGCACACGCGCACACGCGCACACGCGCACACGCGCACACGCGCACACGCGCACACGCGCACACACGCGCACACACGCGCACACGCGCACACGCGCACACGCGCACACGCGCACACGCGCACACGCGCACACGCGCACACGCGCACACGCGCACACGCGCACACGCACACACGCACACACGCACACACGCACACACCAGAAACGCTCCGGCACACCCACGCACACCCACACACACACCCACACACACACCAAAAAGGTACACTGGTACACTATAAAACGTAACCGAATAGGTACACCAAACACGCTCCGGCGCACACCACAACGTAACGCTCTGGCACGCACCAAAAAGAGGTGGGCGGCGGCGGGCGGTGGGCGGCCGCGGCCGCGGCGGCGGCGGGCGGCGGGCCGCTGGAGGAGCCAGTGCCGAAGCCCCGCGGGGGCTCGAGGGGCGGGGCTCGGTGCAGGCGGGGGTCGGTCGGAGCGCTGGAGGAGGAGGAGGAGGAGGAGGAGGAGGAGGAGGAGGAGGAGGAGGAGGGGGAGGAGGAGGAGGAGGAGGAGGAGGGAGATCGAGGATCCCCCTCCCTCTCAGCCAGGTGGGGCATGTGCAACCCACGGATAAGCCAGGCTCGGAGAGGTATAGCCCGCCTTGGCATCCACTGCCAGTCCCCTGCTCCCCTTAGCAACCCCCGCGCCCATCCCAGTGGACTGCCAGGCTTGTTTGCGCTGCTCTCGGCAGAAGAGGAAGGAAAATGTACCAACACTGCTGCTCGTCCTGGAGTCAAGGAAGAGCAACTGACACAAACATGCACTTTCGGACGTCCATGTGGATTTCTTGTATCGGCGCTGGATCCCCATCCCTGACCCGCTGAGAGCGCCGGAGGCGGCGCCGGAGGCGCCGCTAGGGGTATCCTTCGCTGATCCGACAAACCCGCGCGGACCTCCGAACGGGTATGCTTTATGACATTGTTTTTGCTGCTGGATGGAGGGCCCTCGCCGCCACGGCGAGGTTCTCTTCGTGATCTTGGTCAGAGCGCACCCTGGGAGGGGTCTGGGGAGCAGCGGTATCTTCACCCCCTCCCCCCTCCTCCTCCTCCTCCTCCTCCTCCTCCTCCTCCTCCTCCTCCTCCTCCTCCTCCTCCTCCTCCTCCTCCTCCTCCTCCTCCTCCTCGCGAAGGGGCCCACGAGCCGGCCAGGGTGGGGGCCCGCACGGGGGGCCGGTCCCGAGCGGGCCCTGGTGGGGCCTGGGGGCTAGCCCGGCCCAGACCTCTCGGCGTCGTGGGCAAACAAAGAAAGTCAACACGGAGGGGTCTTGAGCAGCGGGCCTGCCACACGGCGTGGTGGGCGCGTGGTGTCGCTTCCAGGCCCAAGGCCACCCGAGCCCCGTCGGGCACTCGCGGGTTCAGAGCAACGTTTTGCCGCAGCGCTGCGCATTGGGCTCGGGCCCGTTGGAGCGTCGAGCCTGCCACACGCCGTGGTTGGCGCGTGGTGGCGCTCACAGGCCCAAGGCCACCTGTCATGAAGCTGCGTCCCCCAGGCGGATTGTTGCAACGATTTTGTGTGTTTCCCGCGGCAGAAAATGTTTGATTTTAGAGTTGTTCGGTTTTTCTTTGTTCAGAAGTTGTTGTGTCGCCGACCCGCTCCGATGTTGGGCATTCGGCGTGCGGCTTGCGCGCGCTCTCGGCTCCAAGCGTCAATTGAGCGGTGTCGCCCCCAGTCTGTTTCCGCCTCGTCTCTCTGCCACCCTTTTTCTTTGAAATTCGAACCGCGTTTTTGGGTATCGTTTCAGCTCGCGGTGGCCTCCTCGGGGGTCTTGTGCGCGTCGTGGGCCGTCCCTCTTGGACCGTTTTGGGCGCCTCTTGGGGCCCTATTGGATCGCTTTGGGGGGCCTGAAAGCCGCGCCCAGGAGGAAAACCATCTCTGGCCCGACCTGGCCGGGGTACTTTGCGTCCAGGGGCTCATAGGGCCGCCCCGCGCGCGCGAAATAGAAATCTTCGCACGCCTCTGGCCCGTTAGACCAGCGAGTTTCCCCCGAGAAGCATGTCCAGTGTGCTATGAGGCGCGCGACGAACGGTTGGGCCAATTTCGCCGACTCCTTCTCTCCTCCTCTCCTGCTGCTGCTTCCTCTTCTGTCCTCTTCCCGGTGCTGCTACTGGCCCTCTTGCTGCTGCTGCCGCTCCCTCCTCCTTTTTTTAACCGTCATTGATGTTGCGTGGGCACGTCTGCTTGGCATGCCGGCGAACAGGGCAAGCCAAACATCATGTTCAAAAAAATGTGTGCTCCGCGGAAGGGAGGCCAAAACAAGTATGCAAAATCGGGGCCAACAAAAATGCCCCAAACCATGGCCAAACGGGGGGGGGAGGAGGGCGCCGCGGAAAGGCGGCGGGGTGGTCGGGGAGGGGGCCGGCTCCCCGGGGGACCCCCGCTCGGTTGGAGAGGGTGCCCTCGTGGCGGGCTGCGCTGCCTCGCGCGTCGGGTCTGCGATTGCGCCGCCACGCCAGGGGCCGCTGAGGCTTCGAAGCCAACGTTTGCCGTCAGGTCTTTCTTCTCCGCCACCACCGCAGCCGCGCGCCGTGGCCCCCAAGGGAGAGCAGCGGGCCCTCGCCGCGGTTGCGGCAGAGTCTGCGCCAGCGGCTCCTGCGCCCGCGGTGGGCTCCACGAGCGCCACTCCCCAGAAGCGGAGCTTGCTCGACTTGCGCGGGCATGAGATCCAACAGCCTCCGGCGTCCCGTCAATTCCCCATGCAGCGCTCGCGCTCGAGCGTTTCTTTCTCATGTGGGGTCTCCAAAGTGGCTTTCTGTTGTGGTCCGTCGGTCCCACGCCGGCACGTTCCATGTTAAATCAGCTTGGGAGGTGCTTCTCCCGCGCGAGCTATCGGCCGCACGGCCAGGACAGCGCCTGGCACTTCGACGGCTGCGCGCGCGCGCCGGTTCTGTCTGCGCTTCGACGGCTGCGCGCTTCGAGGTCCGCGCGGTCGCTATGCCCGACGACCGCAGAAAGAAACACCATCGTGGTGACGAGTTCCATAGCGGTCACATGACGGCTTGGCTCGAGGGCCGCGTTGGTCGCGCCTCCGCGGCGCGTCTGGCGTGATTCAGTGGCAGGGACAGGCAGCGCGCGGCCATTCGATGACGCGCGGGCGTTTCATGGTGCTTCCCCACGGTCCAGCTTGAGGAAACAACATGTTGCTGGAAATTACACCATCTCAAAATCGTTGCGGCTCCTTTAGGGGTGGGGGGCTCCTTCCTGCTTGGCAGCGCCTGAGCCCCGTCGGGCACGTGCGGGTTCAGATCGACGTTTCGCTGTAGCGCCGCACAGCGGGCTCAGGCCCGTGCAGCAGTTCGAACTGGACGGCGTCTCGCCGAGCCTGGAACAAAAAGTGCAGGGAGGTTTGGGAGCTCTTGCCAGGCCCCGGATCGATCGCCCCATGATCCGTCGTCCCAGTCAGCTTCCAATTCGGCCTGGTTCCGTAGTTCTGGCAGTGGCAGGCCGTGACAAAGACGCGGCTTCTCCCAAACGCGCTGATGCTATGTGTGCGCCGGTCCTCCAGGGGCGACGCGCGCGCTCGGACATCTCGTAGTGTGCGATCGCCTCGCCGTCAGGCAGTTTCTGGCCACGCCTTCGGGGTGGCGATGCATTGCAAGGATGCCTGCAGTACGTATTCGGCTCGGACGTGCGCCTCCCGGGGGGGGCGCGTCGTATACCTGTGCGTCCTCCTGCGTCGCCCAATCGGCTCTGGATGAGAAGCCGGTTCCCCTGGCGCGGTGTGGACTCGGCAGCGAGCCTCGGGGGCGCGTGCGAAGGAGTGGGCCTTCTCAGAAGGCTCGGGGAACCTCGTGCCTCATGATGAGTTTCCCTGAAATCCTTTCCCGGAAGCACAAACAGCTTTTCAGAAGGCTGGAAAACCTCGGGGAACAGCCGCGGCCTCCTGAAAACGACTCCTCCTTCTCGCTCCCCCCGCTCGTTCGCTGCCGATGGACCTCCGGGGGTCCACACTGCGGCAAGAGTCACGGTGCCCCGGAGCTCTGGGGAGGGATGGGGGGTCACGCTGCGCGGCGGCACCCCGCCTTCGGCGGGGGAAGGGTTTTTTTTCGGGTGTTGCTAGGAGTGCCCCTGGGGTGCCCCCATTATTCGCAAGGCGGCCCCCACGACTTCCAGAGCACCCCTCACAAGGCCCAGTGGGCCCCAGAGGCTCCAAGATGGAACGAAAAACTGGGGGACACCTTGGGCCAGGGGCATCTTTGGCAGCCTCCGATTCCTCTGCCTCCGGGGGGGGGCCTTCTCGGGAGGGGGTCCGCCACTCCGTGGGGGGCCCCGTGCCCTCTGGTAGGGGGCCGCCCTCCGTGCCTTGCTCCTCTGTGCTCCCCCTCCTCCTCCTCCGCCTCCTCCTCCCGCCCCGTCCCCAGTAGCCAGCGCCAGCTCGACCAGCAATTTTTCTGGCGTTTGCTGACCAGTCCTGCCCTGCTCGACTCCTTCCCTCGGTGCGTCTGCTTCAGGGCCTCGCCAGCAAGGGTGCTTCATGACTGAGTGGGGTGCTTCTGTCTCCCCCTTCCCCCGTTCATCCCTTTCTTTCATCCCCGACGGCTTACCTGGCTTCCTCCCGCCCCCGCGTCCGTGAGTGAGGATCCCGTCGGGCTGCTCTCCGAGGGCTACTTCCCGACGGTTGTGAAGCTGGCGACGCCGCAGGCGAAGACGGTCATCGGGACGACCCTGCAGGCGGGCTCGAGGGGTGCACCTCCCCAGGACAAGACACATGCCACAGACAAGCCTCCAGTGGCAGACATCTCAGTGGCCAAGGTGAGTAGAGCAACCTTTGCCTTGGCATCGCTCGGACGTGTGCATTTTTCCTCTGGCGAGGACCATCGAGGAGCATCCTTGATCATTTGGCGAAACAACCACGCACGAAACCGAACAAAAGACAGGAAATGGACGTCCGAGCGATGGCCAGTTGCTGCATTCGAACGACGCAGAAAAAGCGGGGTCGTCTCCACCGACGCTGGCGCGCAGGTTGCCCGCGCGAGGTCCCGCGTGAGGGCCCTCTCCTCCACGCGGTGCGCCGCGCTGGCGGCCTGCGTCGGCCGCCGCGAGAGCTCGCCATGCCATCTCGCGTGCGTCGTCGCGCGCCTGCCTGAGGCCGCTGTGTAGGAGGAGGAGGAGGAGGAGGAGGAGGAGGAGGAGGAGGAGGAGGAGGAGGAGGAGGAGGGAGGAGGAGGAGTAGGAGTAGGAGGAGGAGGAGGAGGAGGAGGAGGAGGAGGAGGAGGAGGAGGAGGAGGAGGAGGAGAGGAGGAGGACGAGGAGGAGGAGGAGGAGGAGGAGGAGGAGGAGGAGGAGGAGGAGGAGGAGGAGGAGGAGGAGTAAGCCGCCGCGTAAAGCGTCCCCTGCCTGAGCACCGCCCCCTCACGCCACAGCCCTAGAGG